GGTGGGCCCGCTTCGTTCTATGTCGTCCGATAATATTATTGTCGAGGAGGAGGAGGATACGAAAGGTTCGAACAAGGAAGAATATTGTGGATTTTTATTGTCTGTGAAATTATTCAAGAAAGAGCTGCTTTTCTTCAAGAAGCTTACTGTGGGAGGTGTCATGCTTGTGTACATGTACATGTCCATTGACCGCCTGCAAACAACCCATTGTTTAGCAAATACATGAATTATAATAACAGGAGATTCTACATTTACGGAATCATTCCGTCGGGGTTTGTAACCGTTAGATCAACTATTCACGACGGTTACATGATGATCGAACGGTTACAAGAGGGTTACATGATGATCTAACGGTTACAAATCCCGACGGATGGTTCCGTAACGGGAAAGTAGCATTTTCATATAATAACAATAATTGAAAAAGAAAAAAACCATAGCTCGATGATATTGAAAATTTAAAATTATATCTCCAAATAAGAAAAAAATCAATAAATAAAAAAAAAAATGAGAAAACAATGCACAATGTGTGTGTGTGTATATTGTGTTTTTACCTGTAACTTTGTGGCCAAAACGTAGAAGAAGAATAATCTTGGCCGTCCGGGGAATGTTGGGCCGGCCGGCCGGTGACATCAGATTCCGTCTCGTCGCCGGAATCTACGCAAACCCTCTCGGCCTCGTTTTCTTCGTCGTCCGTCTCGATTTCGATGGCCCGGTCAGGCCCGAATTCCTCCTCCAGCTGCTTCATGATCTCTATATATAGCTCCTATCAATATATTTTTTTTTTTTCCCTTTTTTCAATCACTTTTATATAGTTTTGTTTGTAACACAACTACACAAGCAAATTATTCCTATCAATAATTTTTTTTTTTCTTTTCTATCTTCACTAATTTTGTCTGCAACAAAAGCAAACGTGAACAAGAGAATGTATAATTTTGACGTTCTTTTTTCTCGTTCAAAATTGAAAAAAAAAAAAAAAAATCTAAAAAGAAGAATCCTAGACGGGAAGGATTTTAGAGTTTACGTGAAACAAGTACGGATTTAGTTTTATTTTACATTACTATTATTATTATTATCATTACTATTATTATTATTATTAATTTATTATTAGTGTTGTTGTTATTAATAATATTATTATTTTTTTTTGTACAGGGACCTTTCGGTTTTCGGATCCACAGGGGAACCGACTAATCCGGATCGAGCCAGGTAGGACCACAAGGGCGGCAAAGCTTTCCCTCAAGAGTTTTTAACACTGCTGCATTCTCAAAGCTCGAACACGAGACCACTAGTTAAGCTGAAAGAGACGCAAGCATCTCATCCTTATTTCTTGTTGTTGTGTCATGACTTGTTTAGTAATTTGGAATAGTGAAAAGGGATTTTGATAATGTCAAATAATTGTAGAAAAATGGACGAAAATTAATGGTTTTAGATAAATGTATTGCTACTTTGACGGTTTACCATCCGCGATCTATATAGGAGTGCAATAAGAAAGAGCACTTATATTGTATTTCATTTTCCTTTTTTTGGAGACAAAAATTAGGCTTTGACCATCTATTTGAGATTATACACCACATATGAGTCTCTCAATTGATTAGGTTTATTTCTATACTCAAATTGATTGATTTAGATAGGCTCATCATGTGGAAACATGGCGAAAATATTGTTATGCTGGATTTAACAACGATATAAATGCATAATTAACGTATTCGATGTTAGGAGTTCGCGTGTTTATTAGATAATTGTGAATTACAAGACGTCAGTTTTGGTATGAACCGAGTTGTTTTTGCGTGTATGTATGAAATGTCAACAATCGGATCAGTGTACAAGAAACACATTTTGCTATTTATAGCAACTTTTGACGGCTCGTCCTTCAAAGTTTGTATGGTTGCGTTTATTGTAAATTGGCTTTATGGAGGAGGTTTGTGGCAGTTGGACCCACACAGATGATGACGGTGTGTGTGGTACGTGGTTCGCGACGTAGGCGCCTTGTCACCTGCTTCGAGCTCGGTTTTCTAGCACCTCGGTCGGACCAGATGGAAAACAGACTTCACTCCTATGGAGACAACCGACTTCTCACTCGTTTTTTTACCTTTATTTTTTTTTAAAAAAAATTATTATTTGATAAGTACAAGTTAAAATATTTTTAAATTCAAAATATTAATTTTGAAAAAAACTCAACGTATTAGGGCTTGATTGTTTATGAAATAATTTGTTCAAAGTAAGTTATTTTGGTTTACCATAGTTAATTTTGAAAAGGTAGTATGGTTAGTTGCTAGTGGAATTTTAAAAATGTATTAAAATAATATATAAAATAAAATAATTAAAATTGATTTGATGTAAAAGTAAGAGATAAATGATTGAAAATGATTGGAAATGATAGTTAGTTAAAAATTTGTGAGTGGATGAATAGTGAATTAAAGTTGATGTGATGTGTAAGAATGATTGGTTTGTATCATTTAATTATATAAATAATATTAAAGATAATGAGGTTGAGTTAAAGTTGAGTTAAACATATCTTCCATTGCATCTTGAATATTATCAAATCCTTTGTTTGACCCGGGTCGAATGTACTAATTTAATCCGCTATCAACAAATAATGCAATTCTTCCATTGCATCTTGAATATTGTTGTCATTTTTTCTTATTTTAAATAATTATTAGATTACCTGAAAATAATTGAAAATAATGTGTTTTGTTTACATGGGTGTTGTATTTCAACTAATTAATTATCACATATTTATATATATATATATATATATATAAAACTACATTTTTTTTTTTTTGGTACAGGGACCTTCCGGTTTCTGGATCCACAAGGGAACCGACTAATCCAGAATCGAGCCGGGTAGGACTACAAGGGCGGCAAAGCTCTCCCTCAAGAGTTTTTAGAAAAAAACTACATTAACACAAGATACTATACATACACATCTACTGATAAATTAAATAAAAATAAAACAATATAAAAAGGTTACAATTAATTATTGTTCTAATATTTTAAAGGCCCAAGGCCCATGCACTTAACAAAGCCCATGTGATCCTTCGAAATCTGCACTTGCGCACCTTAGCCCAGTCCACGTTTAGTTGTCGTCTTCATTCAGCGGCCTGAAAATTAAACAAGCTCAATCTCCATGAATTGCAGTCTCTGAGCTTTGTTCTTTTCCCGGTTGAACTTTTGCAGTTTCCTATTTGAAGGCAAAAATGGCTCGGGAAGGTCCCAATTGGGAAGGGTTTGCTTAAATGGAGCCTCGCACACTCAGTTGGTACTAACTCTTCTCCTAATCTGAGGTAATTTCCCCAAACTTTTCATGAATTCTTAAATTTTTGTTTCTGTTTAAGTTATTGTTGTGTTGCTTGAAGATATGGAGATATGGGGTCGTGATTGGTTCGTTGTAGGTAGGGGCTGAGCCCATATTTTTCAAAGCTCCACTCGAGCTGGAGCCCATATTTTGCCTTGTCGAGCGGCTCGAGATACACGTTAAATTACTAAAATACTCCTTATTATATATATTAGCAGAAGTGTTTAATGGTAATGTTATCTTTCCATTTAAATATTTTCGAGCCGAGCTCGAGCACTTTAATTTTTTATTGAGTCGAGCTCGAGCCTCAAACTCGAGCTCGAGCAGCAACTAAAAGAAAAACTCAGTCCTGCTCGATAAGGCCAATGCTCGACTAGGCTCGGCTCGTTTGCAGCCCTAGTTGTAGGTGATATGGTTGGTGTGAAATTGTTACTGTTTGTGTTTTTCTTGTTCATAGTTCAAGATGAAAAAAAAAAAGAAAAAAAAAAGACCGTCTGTTTTGAACTTCTGTTTAATTTGTTCTTTTGTTTACGTGCAACTTATTATTGAGTTGCTTGAAGATACGAGTATATGGGGTGGTACTGTTCGTGATTTTCTAGCTCAAAAAGTTGAACAAAAAAAGATTCTCCTTTTGTTCTTTTTAAAATTTTCACAGTGAGGAGGATAGAATGTGGTTTATGGAAGCAATGCAGGCACAGACGGTTGTCATTGCTAAGCGAATGAAAGAGATAACACTTGTTATGAAGATCCCGGAGCAGGTTTTGGAGTCTCAAGGGGTAACTCCTCAAGATATTGAAGGTGTTTGTTAATAATGCATACTATCACTTAAACAACAGCTTTTTTTTTTTTTTAACATTTACGAAGATTGGTGAAGTATTGATTATTTTTTCCACGAATGCAGATATGTTGGATGAGCTGCAAGATCATGTTGAATCGATTGATATGGCAAATGGTTAGTTTCTTAGTTATCCCAAATGTTATCAAACATCAATTGTTTTTTCACATTCAGGATTTGGCTGATGGTTTAGTTTTTTGTTTTCACGGTGTGCATTGTTTTAAATCCTTTCCTTTTTCATTTTGTTTTGGGAATAAACCTTTGTACTGGAGCTTTTTACTAGTGAAACGTGTCTTAGCTTCTGGCTTTGTTCATTTAATCGTTTTTCCCCGTCCGAGCTGATTTTTTTTGAGTAAGGAGTCTTAGTTTGCAACTGTAATTTTTTGGACCATTTGTGTTTGCGTAAACGCCGTAAAGCAGTGATTGTGGTGAAATGTGTTTGGTATTTATCATATTCGCCTGATTAACTGTAATGCTTTTGAAGAATGGTATGCTATGCAAGCGAATGCTCTCTGAAGCTCTGATATTTTGTTTTGTGTTAATTTTTTGTCGTTTTTTTTTTTTTTTTTGAATAATAGTTTAGTTTAATCTTTTGGTCAATCGTGTTTTTTTCTCCAGATCTTCACTCTATCGGTGGCTTAGTTACTCTCCTCGATTATCTCAAAAACTCACACGCGAACATAAGAGCAAAAGTTGCAGAAGTTGTTAGCACAATCGTCCAAAACAACCCGAGAAGTCAACAGCTGGTCATGGAAGCTAATGGTCTCGAGCCGCTTTTGTCGAATTTCGCTTCGGATATTGATGTCACGGTCCTTACCAAATCACTCGGTGCGATTTCATGTAAGGTTGTGTTTATTTATATTTATAAATAAACTCAATTTACATTCAATTAATACTCAAAATCTAACTCAATTTTAACTCAACGCAATATCCTCTATATTATCATTGTAATTTGATAATGCCAATCAATCATTCTTATACATTACATCAATTTTAATTCACTATTCATCCACTCACGAAATTATAACTAACCATCACTTCACATCATCTATCTCATACTTTTACATTAAATAAATTTTAACTATTTATTTTAATATTATTAAATATAAACTCAATTTTCACTAACAACTAACCATAATATCTTTTTTCAAAATTAACTTTGGTTAACTAAGAAAACCCGTTTTGAGTGGATATATTCGTATCCAAGCATGCTCACTCTTGATAAAGCAAGAAAGATCCAACTCTTCATTTGATCGATGTATTTTTTTTCTCCTTTTCTTTTCCTTTTCTTTTTCTGATGTTGTGTTTTCACTTTTCAGCTCTTATCAGGGATTTCCTCGTATTTTCTTGCAACTCGCGTCCAGCGAGGATGCTGACGTGCGTGAAGTTGCACTGAAGGGCCTACGCCAGCTGGCAGAAAACCGGTCGGCAGCCAAACCAGATACCCGTCTAACTGGAGAAGACGAGGAGAAACTGAAACAAATTCTACAAGAGAGAATTAAAGGGATTAGCCAGATGTCACTTGAGGAAAGGCAGTTAGTGGACTCCCTTTGGAGCATTTTTAATCACGGGCCTTGTCCTTTGCGTGAGAATGGGCTTCTTGTTTGGCTCGATGAGGATGTATCTCCTTTGGATGTGGCCAGCCAGCATTTTGAGCCTCCACTCAGAGCTTGGGCCGGGATATGAAGCCTAATAATGAAAAGAAGGATGAACCGTTGCTGGTAGGCCCGAGCCTGCCCGAGTGAAGAAAGTGCAGTTGTGATGAGCATAGATTATAAGTGTTATACCACTGTTCATGTCCCTTTTTTTTTTCGTTCAAGAATGTTACGGGATTTTATAAGCTTTGCCATTTTGGTGATGGAGAGCATGGAAAGGTTTTGGTCTTTAGATATATGCCTTTGTGTAGATTAAGCAGAAAAGCTATTATTGATTGCTCGTAGATTCAATTCGAGCTTATAGTTGATGGCTAGTGAGTCGTGACTGATGATCGAAAAGCTAGCTGCTAGTGTAAGAGTAAGCATAGTGTTCAACTTTTCATTTCCATTTTTTGTGAAGAATGTTGTGGGATTAAGTTGAAAACCAATCTGACAATAATGCTAAGGAGCCAACTGTTGGCTCCGTTACGGAGCCAACAGCTGTCTTATTGGCTGTTGGCTCCGTTACAGAGCCAACAGTTGGCTCCTTATCATTACTGACCAATCTGAATAGCTATTTGATTGCTCATAGGTTAAATTCGAGCTTATAGTCGATGATAATCGAAAAGCTCTAAAAGCTAGCCAGCTGTTATTATAGAAGTGTTATTTAGTTTTAACAACTTTGCTTATAATACATGAAGAAAGAAATTTCTTTGTTATTTAGTTTCAACAACTTAAGAGACATGAAATGGAAATCACATATCCATTTGATGGCTTACCAAACCTCAACCAACCAAAACAACACAAAAAATTGCATAAAACCAGCAAATGAAGAACAATTTTCAGCTCACATCCCATAAACTATTCTTCTTCCCTCTTTCTCTTCTTACCTGAACCGACATTTATTTCGGGAGTCCTGAGGAACGAATCATCATCGGCCGAAAAATTCCGAAAATCGTACAAATCCACTTTCAAAGCAGTTGCAGGTGATTTTTTGCCTCGAATGAGAATTTCACGATCCCGTGCTATTACTTTCGCCATTATCCTTCGGCACTCGATCATACCATCCTAATACAAATTGTGTCGAACCAAAATCTTGGAAAACTTAGTCAATAGAAAGAAAAAGAAAAGGAAACAAAAAAATTCTTCTTCTTCTTCTTTTTCTTCCATCAATTCACCTTCTGATCTTGAGGAATGAAAGTTTCCAAATGTCCAAATGTGACATTTTTTGTGGATGTTTTTATTACACATTGATCAAGTGCACACCTCACTGCTGACATGGCCACAACACATTGCTTGAACTCCAAGAATTCATGATCTGTAAATTGTCATTTTTTAACAAACTTTTGATGATGAAAAGGAAGAAACATAATTAGTTCAAGATTTTTCGGTACCTAAGACGACACAAAGTAGCAACTCGGTTGCTCGTTTAGTCAAGTCATCGACACTTTGTGCCAATATATGGATATAAGAAAATGGAGTAATAGAATTTATTCTCCATGCTAAGGTCTTCAACACTGTTAATTCCATACTTTGAATTAGAGTTGGAGCAAAGCAAGTATCCACAAAATCCACCTGAAATATAATAATCAGTATAACTTCATATATATGAATTCATATATATTATATATATATGCACATTTTGTAGCATTAATTGAAAATATTTGAATGTGTGACCTGAAAATCATGCAGTGAGTGACCATTTGTTTCATTAAACTTTGAAGCAATTGATAAACATGCCACAGACAATAGATCAAACATCCAGCTTTTCCAATCCTGAAATTCTATCCAAATCAATTCAAATAAAAACAATTTAATTTCATTTAGTGTTACCACTCTCTCATTTTTCAAGCTCGTATAAAAATCGGGGTTCGTACCCTGCATCGAGCGATCGAGATGAACCGGTCGAGGTAATTCACGGCGAGAAAAACGGTTGCAGCCCACAAATTCATCCTCTTATGAGCCTATACAAAAATTTGAAACAACATAAAAACATTTCTATAAGTAAATAAGTTATAAAAAAGAATTTAATTAAATAATACTATATTTTACCGTAATGAGCCAATTGACCGATTTAAACCGAGCATTACGGATCGTGTCGCTGCTCCTGATAAGCTCCGAGTAGCTTCGTTCGGGCAAGTACATAGTCTCCTTCACTAGAAACATACCAAAAGTCTCCTCACAGTCTTCTTTTGTACAAAAGACTCGACTTTTCGCGTCGTGATCGTCGTTTTCTTGAGCATAAGTGTTGCTATTAGGACTCGTTAGCCAAACTTCATTACACATCAAACTTTCCATCCTCATACATTTAAGGAAAAATTTAAAAAAAAAAAACAAAAACAAAAACAAAAACAAAAACAAAAACAAAAATATGAAGTCAATAGTTTAAGAAGATCAAGGTACTATTGTCAATTATGTTACATAAATGTTGGAATAATGATTGATTATGTAACATTGTACTTAACAAGGTAATGTGTTTGCGAATATATATGTAGTTGCATACATATATGAGCGTGAGTGTGTATATAGATATAGGGTGGTGGTGGTGGTGGAGTACGGCGGTTAATGGGTGGTGGGCCGGAGGTGTGGTGGTGGTGAAGTTAGATATAAAAATGGGGGGCATGTTTCTCATGACAAACGGGTAAATGCTAAGAGAATATAAAATTAAAAGATAGTTATTCATATTCTAATTTTGGAATTTATATTTTTGTAGAAAATCATCATACTATTAGAATCAACGAAACGAATCGCTCGTGAACTCGGCTTTGCTCGCTAGATAGACGAGCTGATCTCGAGCTTGTTGAAAACTCGTATGGTTAACGAGCGGGGCAGTGGGCCTCGATTCGGCTTGTTGAGGTTTGAAAATAAAAATCTTTATGTAATTTTTCTATAGTTCGGCTCGATTTTGACTCATTAAGGATTGAACTCAATTTGTAAATTGAAATGAGCTGAAATCGAGCTCGATTATTGGCTCGTTAAGTTAACAAGCCAAACTTGGCTCGTCACGGCTCGTTAAAGGCTCAGCTCAAGCTCGGCTCGGCTTGTTTACACCCTTATAATAGTTAGACGGTCATAATCTTTCGACATATATCCTCCCTATATATTATTTCCGAATACGCTAAGCCTACGTGACTGCTTTTGGTGCTTCGGAATTCTTCTTGGCAAAGAATCATGCTTCGTAATTAGGTTTGGAAAAATAATATTCATATATTAATAGTTAATAATTTAGATTTGTACATTCCATAAATATTATTTAGCTAACTTAGGTATTTTAATCCAATTGTACTAATATAACTCTTTATTTCTTTGTAATTTTACATAGTGAGACACTAAGTGATTAATATATCCCTGACTTTTGATTTGTTTCCTTCAACTAGCTATTGAATTATAAATGTATTTTAAAAGTTGATAACTTTTGTATTTATTATCGATTTTACATATATAATATATCAAATTAATTATCAAAAGATGATCTTCGGTTTGACATCCATATTGTATATATGAAATAAATAAAATATATTTATCTTTATAATGATAAAAAAATAATAATATTTATTAAAATTCATTAGAAAAATAAAATTATTTCTCAATTGATATATTTATGTTTAATGTAGTTATATGTTGTAAGTTAAAAAAATATTATCATATAACACAGGTAAGTTGCACAAATAAAAAGTGTTATACTAAATATATAATAATATATATATTTTTTATAAAATGTATTTAAATTTTCAACTACTTTTTCTCATTATTTTAGATTTTAAGAAAAAAAATTAGCAAGCACCTGTGTAACACACGAGCGTTGTACTAGTATATATATATATATATTTATACGAAATTGTCATGTTGTAAATTACAATATAAATTAAAATATGACAGTTAAAATTATATATTTGTTAAGAAAATATTGTTGCTTAAACTATTATATAGGTTAAGAATAACATTTGTGATTAACTTATTCTTAATAAAAAATATATATACCTCATAACCGATTTTTTAAATGAAAAATGAAGTCTTGTAAATTTACATAAACATACTTAGGCCATCTCCAGCCCTTATCTCTACTCTAGCGCGGACTATACTCTACATTGAATATATTATTTTTTATTCATTTTTTATTTCAAATAAATTGATATATATGTATATTAATCTTATATAAAATATTAATTACTCAAACAATAAAAATATATTTTATTTATTTTTATTCAACATAATTTAACCATATATGGTCTAAACCATATATGATTTAGGGCATAAACAAAATAAAAAAAATTGTAGCGTCGATGAATAGTGTTGCGCCACATGTGGCGCAACACTATTCATTCCTCTCATCTGGCTTTAAATTCCGGCGCAACATTGGAGCAGATTTCATCTCTACTCCAGCGCAAAACGCCACATCTGCGCTGGACTCTTAGCAACATAATTTCTTGCATATTTTCACTGTTGCATTTCATTTATTTATTAATTTAGTTTTTTGCCAGCCAATTATGGGCTTTGACTGCAGTAATTTAACGCGTGTTGGCACGAGAGAAGGCCCCCTTAGTATTCATGGATATAAGTGGGCTGAAATAATAGTATCATATTGATTGTGGGATATCTTTTGGGAATTAATTAGACACGTGAGGGCCCACGAGTGGACTATCATAAAGCCATGTTCAAGCTCAATTTATCAAAAAGGAAAACAAAAAAGATAAAAAGATAAAATCGAACCGTGTAGTTCGGTGTGGTACGACTCAATTATTTTATTATAGAAGATCATTAATTCACATTTAATTTGGTTCGACTTGTGAAAGCTCGAGCACGACTCGTTCATTTGCTTAAACCAGCAGAGCTCAAACAATTGAATGAGCTTGTTAACCAACACACAACAAGAGTTCATTCAGACAAACATATGAAGCTCCGGCCGGCTATAAATGTTTTTCCGTTCATCATCCTCCTCCAGCACGGGATAAGCAGCCACTAGAGCATCCTGAGCTCCAATATCAAGTGAGTTATATATCTTCCAGTACACTTCCCTCACCACCCTTGCCGGGTGAAACAGACCCGGAAGACAATAATTCAGCACAACAGCAGCCCCTAAAGCCACCCTCATCCCCTCGATAGCTTCCGTAACAGCATTTATAACATGTGACGATGTCTCGAAAATGTTGGGCCAAATATAATTCATCAAATGGATCAAAGCATCCTCGCAGCCCAAGCCGGCTACACCAAGGGCCATGCGTTTAACGGCCGAGGCAGCTGTTTGCCTGTGTACCAAGTCTCGGTCCATAAGCGCATCCTCGAGCAAAGGGGTCACGGCATATATATAATCTTTGCCCATCTCACCAATGTACTCAAACAAGAAAGAGAGAGACTTGAGGACGCCGTTCTGAACGTTGAGCTCGGGCACACGATACTCGTTCATTAAAGCAGGCAGGACTGTGAAGGGCGAGCAAGTCTCGGCCACTATGGCTATGGCCACAGTCGTGCAGACACGGTTTTGCCTTTCCTGGACCTTGAGATTGTTGAGCAGGGTCGCGAGCACGTCTTGTGGGCCGATGGCCTTGGCTATGTAGCCGAAAGTGTTGACAGTGGCCCGCCGAATACCCTTCTTATGGGCCTCGAGCATCTCGAGCAGCTCGAAGCATATCCTCATCCATTCTCTGGCGGGCACAAACTCAGACCCGCGAACGGCAATTCTTCCCACAAGGTCGATGCAGTTTTCTTGGACCTTCTCGTGCCGGTTCTTCAGTATAAGGGTCAGTCGAGGAAGCAGATCCTTGATCGGTGGGGTCATTTTGGTCATCCCAATAACATTTACTATGGATTTGAGGGCGCCCAGAATAGAACCCAATACTTCGGGGTATTCTTCACCGAGATACTCATACAGCACAACGCCAAGATGGCCCATCAACTGCTCCTACCCACACTGCTTCATCACGACAGCGATTCTCGAAATGAGATCTGCCGCTTGCTGCCTGACTTTTGCGCTCTTGTTGTTGAGCCGCCATTTTATGGTCCCGCAAATCTGGGGGAGGTAAGGCTTCACCCTATGACCAAGAGAGTTGACCACTGCACCAAACCCGTTGAGCATCACGTTCGCATCATCGCTCGTTTGCTCCTGGAAAGCGTACAGAATACCGTCGATCAAGAGCTCTTCTAAACGCGAATCGATGTCTGATGCTCCTAAATTCGTGACCACTTTCTCGATGGTCTCCATGACCATCCTTCTGTAGGGCTCGCTCTCATCTTTGAGGTCCTCGACTATTCTGCCCACGATATCGGCTACACCGACCTTATTCGCGATTTCAACAGTCGTCTCGACTAGCTGCTTGTAGTTCCTCCTGTCCAGAGCCATCCTCCGAACCCAGAAATTCCGGAAGAACTCGGGAAGGACATCGTTTCGGATATAGTCGGGCTCCACGCCCTCGGTGCTCACGCACTGCTTCACGACCTTGATAACGATTTTTTTCATTTCTTCGTCGGGAGATTGGAATTTGCGGATCAGGATGAACATGACCTCCTTAGTGTAGTAGCTGGCGTATACAGCGTCCATGAGGGGTATGATGAAGCCAATGGCCTTCAAGAAAGCGGCCAGCACTTTGCCTCGGTGGGAACGGATACCCTTCCACAGGGGCTTCAAAACAGAGTCGAAGCTCTCGATACCGTATGGGGCCGCGGCCTCTGCAAGGGCGGCCAGCGACAGGGCTGTGATGGTTCTGACCTTCTGATTCTCATCGTTAAGACCGTGCTCGATGATCTCGACCAGAGACCGCAAGTGTGGAAGAACAGCACACCCGATTAGAATCGCAATCTGCTGCACAATCTTGATACCCGTATGTCGAGCTTGCCACGATTTCTTGCTCTGACACACGGCTTTTAGAAACGGGAGCAAGGCAGGAATGCCGAGGGCGGAGGCAACTACACTAAAAGCTCTTGCAGTAGTGTTCCTAACATACTCATCAATGTTATCAATGTCCGGACGCATGGCAGCAATCATCGTGGCCAACCCAGCTGCTTTGCTGAGATTCGAGATGATTTCTCTCCCTTCCACACGTGCATAATAGTCCTCATCTATCAACAGGGGCTCATAACCACCAAGATCTTGTGCACGTCTGGACGCACCAACTCATCCAGCTTATAAAGCACCCGATCAATTACTTTCACAAGCAAGTGCCGCTCCTGGTCTTCCAGGGTTGGCTGCATGAGCAGAGGCAAAATCCTGTTAAACAGTGGCCCAGCACCAAATTCCCTCGCCTTATCTGTCAACTGCCTCAAGGCAGTTTTCCTCTGAGGCGGAGTACCGTTCTTAACCTTTAGTAACAGCTTCATGATCTTACGTTCCTTCTGCTCATTGGGAGACAACTCCTCCTCATTTTCTTCGTTCAGCAGAGAACCAAAGTACTGATAATCCTCGGGCTTCATGAACGGCAACCCACCAGGCATCTCCTTCGGCACATCAAACTGCTGCCCACGATTCTCTTCAGGGATGTTATACAGAGGAGTCCCCATCGGGGTAGGCGTGGCGAGAAGCTTACGGGCAGGTGTTCGGATAGGGACATATGATGCGGGAGGATCTAATATCTTATACCCTTCCTGAGGAAACATGGCATCAAGCTCCTCATCAGTAAGCGGCCTGTTTCGATCCTCGATATCCTTCTCCCACCTCATCAGGTTATACTGTTCGGGGGTCATTGCACCATGCATTATGGCACTCGGAGTTGGGGTAGCCATATCAACGGCCCCAAAAGGAGTCACACCGGGAGTGAATGCTGCAGCTGGGGTAGCACCAGGTGTGGCACTGCCCATGGTAGCCGGAGTTTCGTCCCATCTCGATCTCTGTCGCTTCGGGGTCGGGGTAGCCAGCCCCCCGAGCTTCGGTGTGGCATCCCAAGCCATGCCTGCAGGGGTAGCGCCAGGTGTCACGCCACCGGCAGGGGTCGCATCTGAGTCGTTAAAACGCCCGGGAGTTGGAGTCTCGTCCCACCGATTTTTCTTGGAAATCGAGTGTGTAGCATCACCTAATCTCCCAGGGGTGGGTGTTGCATCCCATCTCCCGATTCCAGGGGTCGAGTCAGTCAAATCCCAGTCAGAACCCGACTTAGTCTTTTTAACACCGGAGCTCTCGTCCTGTGAGACATCCCATCTATTCCTCTTCTTGGGCTTATCGGTCTCCTTCTCCTTGGCATTCTCCTTCAGCTCCTCCTCTTCTTTCTTCTTCTTCGCGATCTCACGCTTTATCTCCTCCTCCTTTCGCTTCAGAGCTTCCTCTCGCATGACATCAGCATAAGTCCTGACCTCAGGCCCCGGGGTCTTGTCCAGGAAAGGATCATTTCTATCGGGGGATATAATCCTGTTCAGCCTCCTCCGCCTGTAATCATCCTCACGATCAATGATCTTACTCGGCTGCTTGAACCCAGAGATCTCATCCTCTTCCCCAGTTCTCAGAGGCTCCTTCAAAAACTGCTTGGGGGCAGTAAAAGATGACATCTTCCTCGCAATCTCATTCTCAGTGACATCAAAATTATCCTCTTCATCATTGACAGGAATGGACTGCTCATAGCCCTCGAATTTATTCGAACTATAAAGATCAGTGTCAAAAGTCAGAGAATCGAGAGCAGCAATTTCTTTCTCCATTTTCTGCCTCTCCTCTTTGACCCTCTGAATCTCAGAGTCCACATCCATCTTGAAAACTTCGAACTACCCAAAATCAATAATACAAATCATACTTTTGTACGTCAAGTTTTTCTTGCAAAGCCTTCACAAAAATTCAGTCAGAAGCTCAAGAACTGCACTATATCTTTAGGCTTCATTTGCCCTCTTTGGGCCTTGGAATTTTCTTGTATTCATAATTATCTACGTCAAGCTTTTCTTGCAAAGCCTGTAACGTAAAGCACACACATCTCAGCTCTAAGGTACAGAATCACCACTTATTTCTCACCAAAATACATCTTACAAAATAATAAAGGCAAATATAATAATAATCGTGTTTTACCTTAAGCTCTTCATGCAGCGAAATTTTTTTTGGTTTATAGGCGTCAACAGGTCCCATTCTGGATAGAGCCTTTTTTGACTCAATAATCTCCCATTCTTGGTCATCCTTCACTTTAGCTATGTCCTTGCTGAATTAGATAGAAACTTCATGTCATCACGGGATTTATACATAAACAAAATAGTTTTTAATGCATCTTTCTTATTCAGCACTATGTACACCTTAACAACAGATAACCATTCACATAAACCACCCGGCATTTAAACTAATTCCAAAGACACAATTGATCTTCCGCAGCTGTAAAAGTATAACCAAAACCTCCTAGAGGTTTGTATTAAAGATATATAATATAAGATCAATCACAATACAAATACATACAATATAAAAAAACCATTCTCGTATTTATGTTCCGAACGAACAAACTTTAACAAAAATGACTGTAGCCAAACAAAGCAATCAAGCACGAGCCCAGGCCGAAATTCTAATTCATCCCACACTAACCTTCCCTGTAGTAGGTGGCCGAGTCCAAGAGCTCCAAGAACAGTGAGTGAGATCATAGGAAGACCATATCTGACGAATGGTGATACCCTCCCCCAACGTCTGAATTTTGAAGTCGAAGGCTGGAAATTGGCACCGGACTGCACTTTTTCATTATCCAACATCTTGGGCTTCACCAATGCCGTGTCAACAGGCGTCACTTGTCTGCTAAATCCCATCTATGCCAAAGAGAAAATGAAGACAATTTAAATAGTATAAGTTCTGTTCGAATGACGTAATTATTTCTTTTTACCGAACAAGATCATCATCCAATTACATTGTAGATTCTAATCGAATTTCTGCAGTCAACAATCAAGCAAAACACACGCTAGTATCAAACTATATGAAAGAGTAGTGTTGCTACAGGGGAAGCGCAAAATAACTAGTCAAGATAAAAGGCACCCTTTTTTGCCCCATTTTTCTGTATACTTTTCTTCACTTTTGCAATTAACTTGATAATTTGTCATGCCGATTTATGCACCCAGACAAATACTCCGCCATGATAGACTACCTATCAAAATTTACAAATTCAATGCTAATCGAATTTTGAATAAACAATATATAAAAAAACGTGCGAAAATAAATAGTATATAGAAAAAGGTGAAAACCTAATTGTGAACTACCCAAAATCAATAATACGTAATCTAGCCATCTAGGGTCTGTAAAGTAAATATAATTTATTTTTTTTTTTTTTTTGGTACCTTTAAATCGGATGGCCGAGTGGAAGTGATGGCTGGTCGACTAGTTGACGACGGAATTCGGCCGCCGGTGAGTGAAAGCAGTCCGCACTCTGCAAAGATTGTAGAAACTGCAACAATGGAGACTCACGAGGGAATTGAGAGAGAAGAAGGGAAAATAAGTTGGGTTGTAGTTTGGGCTTTGTTGTTTATTTGTTTTTATTGGGTCTGGGCTAAGATAAAAAAACATATGCCCGTTTAGAGGGCAAAAGCCCAATAACTATGAGAAGGATACTATAATATCAGCCCAAACCCACCAAATTATTGAAGCATTGTTCATTTATACTAGTGCGTATCCCGTGCGATGCACGGGTAACCAATATTAAATAATAATTATAAATAGATCTTGAGTTTGAGTCACCAACGAAAGAAGTGCGAAACCACCCTTCTTTAAAAGAGCAAAAAAAATATTATAAATTAAAGATGAGGGTAAACAAATTAAAGATGAGAGTACACAAATTAAAGATGTGGAGTTAATATTGATATAATTTACCGTATACCAGTTTATTATAAACAATCTAAAAGTAGCTTGTACAAAAGTACATAAAATTTGTATGTTTAAAATATTTCAAACACCTAAAATATTATATTAACATATGTAAAAATATCTAAAATTTTCTATATTATTAGTAAATGATGTGAACCACCTACAACTTTTATAAACAATTTTGGAAAGAAAACGTGTCTAAAAACATTAACTTTCTTTTTTGTATAAAAGATGTTTTATAAACTTTCTTTTTTTGTCTTGTAAAGAAAATATTCTTAAAAATATTTAAATTTTATATGTATATCTATATGTGTATATGTATATGTATATACAGATAGAATATGACATGATAAAATATTATATAAAAGTATCTATAATATTATAAGTTTAAATACAGACATTATAAAGTTTTTGGTAGAAAATTTACATAGTATATATAAAATAAATATTGACATGATTATGACGGTACCTAAATATTTGAGTGCATGAGATTTCAAAATTATTATGATTATTATTTAACTAATTTGAGTACAAGATTTTAAACAACTTATACAATTATGTCAACTAATAATTGTAAAATTTATATTTGTATTGATAATTTCTTTTAAATTATTTATTCAGAACAACTTATGCACTTTTTAGTTTTAATGTGGTATATACATATTTCTTCAATGTTTATAACCACATGATTTATCAGAGTTAAGTATGAAAATAAACACAGAAATCAAATATAACTTTTAAGTCAGTTTTATTTTAGATAATTTTTATTTATTGCATACGTAGACACTACTGATCATAACTTTTTTTTTTTACTTTAGGTCCACAATAGGTTTAACTATAATAATTATAGTTATTTAATTGATTTTAAAATATGATGTCCTTATCATTCCTATTTATTAATAGAATAGATTAATTTGTAATATTTGAGAAATTAACAACTAACTAATGTATCTAGTCTGTTCACATTATTGGCTATAAGAATTACTTTTCAAATAGTAATTATAATTTAGAAAGATAATCATAATTTTTAGAAGAGATAATTATGAATTGAATAAAAACAAACATTATATAATTAAATATAGAAACATACAACAAATCATGCATCTTATCTTAAACTTCATTCATATGACCTAAAATAAAAAATGTAGCAAAATCCCTAATTCAAAGACAACATTGTCGGTTTGTTTTGAAAAATAAAAAATAAAAAAGTTACTAAAAATAGTAAGTAATTAATGCTAAATAAAATTTGACCAAAGTTGACCTGCCATTTTTGAAAAATGGTAAATTTGTTTATATATATATATAGATTCGCAAATATGTTCATTTAATATTTTTTATTATTTATTAATTAATAATAATATAACCTGTTATTGACTAATAACAAATTTACACATAATATATATTTATAGAAGTTCTTTAATTAGGCAATTGCACTGTATTTATAAAAGTGTAGTTGAATTTCATTATAAGTATTTTCCAATCATATTTGAAGGTAGGGGAATTCTGATGCGAACCGAACATTCGGGCTGTCAATGAAGTATATGAGCGGGAGTAGTTAATTTTAATTATGTATGTTAAAGTATTTAGATAGGATTAGTAGGTTAGTTTATAATTTAAATATTTGAATGGTTAGTTACAATTTGAATATTTATAAGTTTACAGAAGGGAAGTTGAAAGTAATAAAAATTAAGAAAGAAGCTCGTTTTCGAGTCATTTCTTTGTGAAAAATCAAAGCCGATAGAGCGGATTTTTCACTTATTAATGTGTAAATCAAGACCGTCGGTGCGGGTTTACACATTTTATTGTGTTCGAACCAAGACCGTTAGCACGAGTTCTTACACAACACTAGTCTCAGACTCTCAATACACGATCTTCATCAAATTCTTGCAAAAAATAAATTATTGAACAAACAATATTTTCCCAATTAATGTAATACTTGCACATACAAAGCAATATGGTTTTTAGAACATTTTTTATGTGTTTTCACATTCTTATGTGATTAAATATTAAAACCTAAAAGGAGAAATTTAAAAAATATATATATATATATTATATTTTTTCATTATTTAAATTACTAATTAATAATTATATATATCATATTCTCAACTACTAAGTCGTGTGATAAAGCTTTTTTAGATTAATTTTTTTCAAATTGTACATGATTTACTTTGCACAAAAGATAATCCCATGCTTGTGCTACACAATATATTAAACTCCAATAGTCAAACAATTATTTCACGATAAGTATTATCATCTTTATAAAGCAGTCCCGCAAATGGTGCAAAAATCAATCATTAATTTCTTTAACATGCGTGCAAAATGTTGACTTTTTAATTAATTAAACTACCAATATTTTTGTTACATTTTAATAGCATTATCAAAGATCTTTAATATCAAACCGCACAATGTAATTGGCATTAATATAATGGATTTTGTGGAATTTTGAGATCATTTTAGATGTTTGACTTATCAGGACTTCAATTGTTTGGGGAGATAGACATACACACACAACCGTTGTTCTAAAAATCGGAGTAAGCGGCATCTCCGATTTGCACAACGACAAAAAAAATCGGCCAGACGATTAGGCGGCTCTAGGTGCTTCTATGCGGACTTGACGGGCTTGACGGCCAGACGGTTAGGCGGTGCCTAGGCGGGCTCGACAACAATTTTTTAGTTTTTTTTTTTAAATACTAATTACATTATTTTGTTTTCATATTTCCTTTAAAATTTATTAATATTGCTATTTGGACTTAGGTGTGTCGATTTATTATAAGTTGAGATAATTTTATCTTGTAGGTAGTTAAAATAAATAAAAAATAAAGTATTTAATATTGATTTTTAGATCCCATCTAGGTGCTAAACGCTGGTCG